TATATATATATATATATACTCACTTGAAAAGGAGTTTGATCAGAAATAGGGTTAAGATCTCTAAACAAATCCCGCGAAGAAGAAAGGCTGATAATTTTGACATCCTAAAGGCACAATGCTTGGTTAGTAAGAATGAATAAAACGGAAAGCAAGAAATACAATATAGCAAAGCCGTTTACCTTTTGAAGGGTGTCTTTCGAGATTCCTTGTAAAGAAGCAGCTCGAGGAAGAGATTTTATGGCATTTTTTAACAACCTCTCAACTTTTGGGGCCTTATCAGTTTTAGCCAAAGGATTTTTTTGTTTTTCTTTGTTTTTTCCCTTGTCAGACTTTTTTGTAGTAGAAGCCTGACAATCGAAAGATTAATAAATAGTGTGAACAAATGGGTAAGGGAGAATAGTAAACTTACTGTTTGGCCACTAGAAGAATCCATCTTGGTTTTCTTTTTCTTTGAGGGATCAAAATCCTAAAAAGGGAACAAGTTACAAAAAAAAGAACGGAGGAATTAAGGTATTCGAGTTCGAGCAACTGAGATGATGATGGCTACCTTGGAACGAATCGAGACCTTGTTTGAGGCTATCTTGCGCTTTCTAGATCGAAGCGGAACCTCTTGTTCTTCATCCTTGCTCTCCCATGGTTGAGCATCATCTAGATGCTAGGGAACTCGTTGAGCAAGGGCCACTGTTAATAGATAATTAAACGAGTTAACCTATATTCGAAAAAAAAAAAGTAAACCAAGAACAAACTAAGTTATCAGAAGTTTATTCTTTTTACCCAGATGTACAATTATTCTATCAACCCAAGAAAGTGGCCACCACTTGTTCCTGGGAAAATTGTGCACAGAACATCTCGCATAAGTAACTCGATCTTTTATAGGGATGCTTTTGTGCTCCAAGTAAAAGGGGTCGAGAGTCTTGACCCAAGGAGGATAAGACAAATATTTGGCTAAGCCAAAAAGGGCACTTGGAAGAGGAGGAACGTTTTTTGGACAAAACTTTTTGAAAGTTGTTCCTCCTCGAGGGTTAATAATTTTGTTTGTGAGCATGTTCTTTCACACCATTTTCGTCAAAGACACGGAGGCATCGAAAATGGTTCGAGGTAAGTCGTTGGGTTGATAACAAACTTTAAAATATTGCTCGAATTGGTAAATAACACTGCGATTCTTGTAAGTACCTAGAATTTTGGGTCCCTGTGTAGGAAAAAGATAATTGATCAGACACCGAAGGAAGTCCTCGAATGAGAAAAATTTATCGGTATAATACTTGAACCACCACACGAGGAAACATTTCGATACAAGAAAAGAGGGAGAAAAAATGAAGGAATAAGGGAAAGTTGTTTTTCCGGAGGCAAATCAAATCAGTTATGGCAGTGTAGTCACCCTTCTTGACACATGTCAGAATCAATCCTTTCTTGTTGTCGAAGAGGAAGGGGTTTCATTTGACACAAACCAAATTGTCTAATGAAAAGTTGTGGCTGGTAGGGGTAAACGCGCACATCTTTTTGTTTCATTCCCGAAAAGATAACATCCCACGATAGGAATCCGAGCCAAATATCTGCCATCTCTCGAGAAATGCACCCAACTTGGTTATGATTGCATAACCAAGCAGGACCCACCAAATTGGGCAGAATAAAAGGAGCTGGATCTTCCGAAAATTCTTTGAAACTAAGAATAGTTTGCACATATCTAGCAAAATTATCGGTAGACCTTTTTTGAGGAGTCAAAGCTGCTAATCTAGCCCCTTCGAGAGAATAAGTAATAGAAGACTGAAGGGGAGTCAGTTTAAGCTTCTACTCGAAAATGGTGTTAAGCCATAATTGAAGTAACCAGAGGGGTCCTGAAATATTCCTAGGTCCATTCTCACAGAACAAACTCTCTGAAGCTTCATCCAAGCAGGTGTATAGCGAAGCCAATAGAAATTTACTTAAACAAACTTTCCTTCGCAAATGTAAGGATTAGGCAAGAGTGTAGTAGTATTTCGGAACCTGAAGAGAGGGAGTACAAAAAGCATAGGCCAAAAGCCAATACAGTAGAAAAGAAATATGTTTCGAGTCAGATACGGGTTCACCTACTTGGCCATGGTGAGCATTAATGAAAGCTAAATAGGTCTTCTTATCCCAAACTATCGAAAGGTCTTTAGACGAAATCTCGTCTTCGAAAGTGTCAGGATGATAATGATGTCCTATAGGTTTTAGCCCAGTAATTGCAGCAATATCTAACAAGGTGGGGCATACAAAACCACAAGGAAACTCGAAAGCTCGAGTTTCCCTGTTCCAGAAGAAAATAGCAGACAATAACATTTGTGGGTCAAAAATGTGTAAATCTGACTTAGCCAATTAAACAAAATCAAAAATACCAGTGTCTACCCAAATAAATTTCATAGAGTCCTCAACTCGTTTAAGCCATTGAATATGTCTATCTTTAGTAGGACGAAAGGCTCCAAAATTTTTAGTGGTATCAGCAAAAAAGAGAGAGATCAATCTTAGCAGAGTAAACAAAAGGAAAAGATGCCTCATCATCAAAAAGAAGGGTATTAGTATATTGTTTCTTGTTCTGACCAGAAAAAGGACCAAGAAAAGCGCGAGAAAGACCATCTTGAGTGGTGAATGGTATGAGTACCTAGGACTGGAAAATCTTGAGGCTTGCTTCCTCCATGCCTGGAATGGGTACGAAAGGGTCACTCTCTCCTTCCACAACAGAGATGGTAGTTTTTTCCATGAGCAGGGGAATAGACTGGGTAGAAGAAATAGATACCAATGTGGGGGAGAGTCTAGAAGCAACAACAGATGTAGAAGCAGCGGAGGAGGCCATGGCGCAGATACAGTAGCAAAAGCAGATTCAGAGAGAAAGAGAGTAGCAAGAAGTGGTCGGAGAAGAAAGAAGATTCTTGTGCACAATGAAACGGTAAAAGTGAAGTTTTACCCTAAGAGAGACTTTTAAACAAGTGAATGGGCTTGGATAAAAATGGGCCAACATGTCAAATCAGTCGCCAAGCGTTTCAAATCAACGGATAGAAGCATAGAAAAACGTGAGCATGCGCCGTCAAATTTATGAGGGGTAGAAAATTTTTAAATATAACGGTAACCACATTTAATAAGTGCTTCAGATTAGGTTTCCATCGAAGAGGTGAAATAAGGAGTTGCAGTTCTTTAGCCAAGAAGAGAGATTAAATAAGTATATATCGAAAAAGTGAAAAGTCAAGTAGGAATTCAGTTCTCCCTCGCTCTAGTACGCTCTTTGAGACTAAATTCCTAGGGGGGCATTTGTTAGGGTCACTCAAAAAAAGGATACCTGCCAAATGAGTAAATATCAGGATAGGATATAAGTATGCATGTATTCGAAGGTGGCTTAAAAATTTATAAAATGGAAAGAGGTTACTGGAGGTTTCTTGAGTAGTTTGAGTGGTTACGCCAAAGAGGTTACTACGTGATGTGTCAAAGGGATAAAAATACGTGGGACAAGCAATTACGAGAGGTTACACTCGATTCACGGAAGTTGCTTAGTGGATAGCAGTTGTACATCCCACGATGAACCCACGCGAGGTTAACCGCTCCCAATAACCTTTATAAATAGGAAAAGCAAGCCACTTCTAGGAGGTTAGAAAAATCATACTTGAACTCTCCAAAGCACTCATTGCTTGCGCGTATGGCTTCCATGCACAAGATCGCTAGATATGACTTCTTGGCCATATTCTTTTTTTTCTTCTTCTAGGCCTATTGTAGTCTAGTGTAGTTGTTTGTTATTTCTTTTTTATCAGTACTTATTGTAATTCAACAGGCATGTGAATTGGACAATGATTTGCATTGCCAATATATATGTTATTCACTTGATATATTTGAATGTTTATGTGCACGAGAGTTATTTGTTGATAATTGTTGATGAACATTTGGAGATTGGAACTTGCTAAATGAATTAGGACAATATATTTTAATACATTTAAACAGTATTTATATTTTTTTCATTCATACTATTAAATTTGAAAAATATGTTCAAATTTATGATATTTATTAACCAATAGAATTGTCAAAATATATTTTAATACATTTAAAAGATTGATATTTCAATATTAAATTTTATTGAAAATAAATATTTAATAAACTTTAATAATTTAATAATTTAAAAATTAACAATATATAATATTTAATAATTCAAAAATAATTTAAAATATTTAATAATTAAAAAATATTGATAAATTATACATCAATATTGATAGATACAAATGTAAGTAAAAAAAAATATTGATAGATAAAAAAAATAGAAAAAAAATAAAGAGAAGAAGAAAAAGAAGAAATAAATGAGATGAATAAAAAAGAAAGAAAATATGAGATTTAGAAGACATGAAAAGAGAGAGAAAAAAAAAAGATGAGTTAGGAAAGAGAGAGTAGAAAGATAGAAGAGAAGATGAGACAAAAGAAAGGAAAAAAAAAAAAAAAGGCAAGGAAGGAAAAAAAAAAGAGAAAAAAAAGTCATGTAAAATCTCAATGATTTTAATAAGATTGTTGAATAAGTGAATTATATGTAAATTCTGCTGAAAATTCTCATAAAATTCATTCATCAAAATAATTAATTGAAATATCTATATTTTTTAATACCAACAATTTTTTTAAGTGAAAAAAAATCTTAATTTCACTAGATTTTGATGTAATTTTAAAAAATTCTAATTGTCTTAAATGAGTACTACCATATTTTTATGTAGTTTTAGAAAAATTCTAATTGTCTTAATTAAATATTACATATTTTTTTATATTAAACAAATATTGAATACTATAAAACTTTTTTATAATAAAAAGATCTTTTAAAAATCTTTTAAAATCTCAATCCAATACACCATCATATCTTTAGTTTAACTTGTTTTCTTTATATATATATATATAGAGAGAGAGAGAGAGAGAAAGGAGGGATGCTTTTACTCTAGGAGTAAGTCTACTAGACTTACTTTGTTCAATAACTCATGTTCTACATCAAATTTCAACGATCTAACCGTTCAATTTCAAGTTCTTAATGCATAAATAAAATTTGCAAATTTTTAGAAAATTTGAAAATCATTTGATACTTCGTGACATTAATTCAAATCAATGTATAAAATAATTTTATGATTATCCGTCAATTTGAGTTAATAAAATGAAGTATCAAATGATTTTCAAATTTTCTAAAAATTTGCAGATTTGATCTATGTTAAAAACTTTAAATTGAATGATTAGATCATTAAAATTTAATGTAGAACATAAGTTATTGAACGGAGTAAATGTAGGTAGACTTACTCCTGGAATAAAAGGATCATTCCTCATATATATATATATATAT